TTATTTTTTTTTTTTTTTCGGGGGCGGGGGTGGGGAGTGTAAGATAAGGTTATTTTTGTTTTTTATTTTATTTTTTCTAATTTTGTTTGGTATTTTATAATATGAAATTTGTGGAGTTACCATTTTGCCTTCACCAAATTTGGTCAAAAGCAATTTTTTTTGTCAACTAACGGTCAAATGGATGGATTCCATCCATCTAGACTTCAACTGCATATTTATGAAAGGTTAAAGACATTCGCTGATACAAAATGAATGTTAAAGTAAAGTCGAAAAAAAATGAAAAGGTTAGGGAACGTTGCCGTAGTTTTCCTTGAGCTAAATGATAAAGAATAGCTTGAAAATTTCCTTAATTATTCTTCTGCGAGAAAAAGACAGAGAAATGAGCGAAAAAGAACCGTATATTAACTTGAGAATTGGAAAAGTGTAAAAGAATTTCAATATAATTGAGAAGTATATTTTGGGAAAATAAAAATATATTAAAAGAAAAGTTTCTTAACTTAAATATAGGCCCCGTTTGAAATAGATTTTGAGAATTGATTTTTTGACCGTTAGAAGAAAAGTGGGGTTCAACCGTGAGAGAAGAAATAAAAAATTACGGCTTAAATAGTGAAATAAGGGTCAAAAAATCAATTTTTTGGGATAAAAAATCCCTCCCAAATAGGCTGATAATAATAATGACGAATTAATATATACACACACACACACTTTCTAAATTTACGCCTAAAATAAGTGCATAATATTAAATGTAATCTTCATTATTGAGAACAAAATTTATCTCCATAGTTAGAAATATATTCTCCATGTTATTTAGTGAACCAAAATAAACCTCGTGCCCTAATTCATTCATTCAAGCAGATTTGGTATTTACACACTATTAGATCCCGACAAAATAAATAAGATTTTAATTTTTTAATATTATCTACTATTGTACAATCCATTTATCACATTTTTTGTTAAATAAATCGAATATATAGTATTAGACAATATTGAAAATAATAACAACCTAAAAATCATTTTTAACATCTTGAATCACATATCTAATCCCTTAACTCACAAATATATATGGTTTTAGGCTTGGGTAGTGATATGCACACAGCACGGTGCACAACGTGGGGCCCCCTCATGGTCATGGACTGTACAAGGAGACGGATTGTATAAGAAGAAAAACCCATTAAACTTTAATAGCCTAACGTAAGTCCATTCAAATTGCGACAAGTCAAAATTCTAATTTATTGTTGCATTTAGCAAAACCCTAAAATAGGCTCTAAAGTGTTTACCTCCTTTTTAGCCTTTAATTGTTACTTTTTTTAGGGTATATTGTGTTTTTCATCCCAATTGCTATTTATGTATGTTAAACAAGTTGCTAAAAAGTCTTAAAGTTAAAACATTTTAAATAGCCCCTAAAGCAAATGACTTTTGAATTTGGTTGCATAATCCTTTAAGATATGCCCAAAAAAATTAATTGTCATCAAAGTTTGACAATTATGATCTCTCAAGTGGTGATTAATCTTTACTAATTGCACTTGGAAAAAGTGAAGAAAAATGAAAAGAACAAACAATATTGGCAAAACAGTATCTTAACTAAAACGTGCAAATGGGAACCACCAAATTCCAATTCTTATGCTATGATAAGTATTAGTGAGTCATCATTTTCATGTCAATCATGCTACAAGTAGGAGAAATTTTAACAAAAAATTTTGATAGACAACGCATCACTTGAAATTATTGAAAGATGGAAAAAATACAGAAAAAGGCAAATCAAGTTTTGCCATGCCAGCATCTTTATAAATTCAATAAGGAATTCTCTGTACGTGATGCTTTTTCTTTGTCACGTTATTCAATAAATTAAATTGCATTCCAACTTTATTGAATAATGTGAATGTAATCTCACTACCACACAAATTGGTGATCATCTTTACAAGAGATGAATAACATTTCTCCCTTATGATACAATTTAAAATTATATTGTAGATCAAGCATGTGCATTATTTTTAGCCTTTAGATATACCCATATATAAATGTAGAAAATTGATTTTAAAGCCTCCAAATATGACAAGATCAATGCAATGCAAAGTGATGTATGATGCCTTGTATAAAGAAAGGTAAATTTTATTTAAATCTAAAATTTATATAATTTTGAAAAAATTCAAGCAGTGTCCCGAAGTTTTGAACTTTGCAGTGATGGATTTCGAACATTCCATTTGAAAAAGTGTATGGCCGCCTTCATTGGCTAATGAGAGAGAGAGAGAGAGAGAGAGAGAGACGACTCTAGTTCACCTTTAATACATTAGGGACTAGAATATCACAAATAGAATTTTCCAACCCCATTATCATAAGGATTGAAAGGTTAGGGACCCCAGTTGAAATATTCCCTTTAATCTTCGATGAATGTAGCCCTGGCCTTGGGGAGTCTTGTTAATGTTAAAACAATTCATAAAGTGAGTATAACTAGACAATAATGTAATTAAGCTCCTTGTGCAATACTATGATCACTTAAAAATCATCATTGTCATCAAATTATTAGTGTTTGAAGTAAAATTGTGCTCTAAAGCCAAAACCGTTTTGGCTTATTAGGTGTTTATTACGGGTAATTTAGATAGGGTAATTGGCACAAAATATGAACATTTCAATATTATTGTACAAAACGTTCGTATATTTCATTTTTTGACATTTTCACTCTTATCTTTCACCTTTCATTGCACAAAATGTCCTTTTTCATCCATTT